ATCCTGCTCATGATTGGAGGAGAGCAGCATGCTCGGCGTGTGGGTAGCAGAGTTGGGATTGGTGGAAGAGGACTATAAAGGAGGAGAGAGACAACATGCACCGGGAACATCTGAAGGAACACCCGAGCAGCCCCCGAGAGAGCTGGCCGGCAGTGTGCCGCTCCTCCGTGGAAGCGGGGAAAGTGGCAGGGGGAGCCGCCCCTCCACGGAGGTGGAGGGGTCGGCAGCCAACCCGGGAAGGACCAGCAGCAAACCCGGGAAGGGCCGAGCAGATGAAAGAACAGCGCAGGGTCCTGTGTCGTTCCTCCACGAAGAGGGGGAACGACAATAGAAAAAGCACAAACTTGGGCTGAGAAGACATGACCTTGAAGCCTGAGTGTGTAAGCAAGATGGGAGGGTTTTTTTTTTCTTAAAAAAAGATTTGTGTTGGGAGCAACCCGGACTGGACTGAGTTACTGGAATTAAGACTTATTCTATGCATCTGCTCTCCCACAATATGGCGCTGGGAGAGGAGGCAACAGCTTCTACCCAGCTGCCTCTCACCAACTTGACAAGCTGCAGGACCTGCTCCTGATTGGAGGAGAGCAGCGTACTCGGCGTGTGGGCAGCCGAGTTAGGATTGGCGGAGGAGGACTATAAAGGAGGAGAGAGACGGCATGCACCAGGAACATCTAAGGGGAACACCTGTGCAGCCCCCGAGAGAGCCGGCCGGCGGTGTGCCGCTCCCCCGCGGAAGTGGGGAATGTGGCAGGGGGAACCGCCCTTCCACGGAGGTGGAAGGACCAGCACCCAACCCGGGAAGGACCAGCAGCAAACCCGGGGAGGGCCGAGCAGACAGAAGAACAGCGCAGGGTCCTGTGTCGTTCCTCCACGAAGACGGGGAGCGACATAATGGTGCCGTGACTCGGATATGAAGCCTAGGCAGGGTTTAGTGTCGTTCCTCCATGAAGAGGGGGAGCGACAATTTGTTTTATTTATTTGAAAGACAGAGTTACAGAGAGAGGTAGAGACAGAGAGGGAGTCTTCCATCCGCTGGTTCACTCCCCAGATGGCTGCAACGGCCAGAGCTGCGCTGATCCGGAGCCAGGGGCCCAGAGCTTCTTCGAGCTCTCCCACGTGGGTGCAGGGGCCCAAGGTCATCTTCTACTGCTTTCCCAGGCTATAGCAGAGAGCTGGATCAGAAGAGAAGCAGCCGGGACTAGAATCGGCACCTATATGGGATGCTGGCACTTCAGATCAGGGCTTTAACCCGCTGTGCCACAGTGCTGTCCCCCGGGAGGTTTTAAACAATCAAATTTCCTGAACTTTAGTCTTCTCTCCTATGAAGATTGTAACCCCTGCTGACTCAAAGAAGTCCTTCCTTGGGAGGACTGCATCAAACAGTGAAAGAGCTCTGTAATGTTTAAAGAATAGTAAAAGTGTGATATGTTCAGTGGACACCTGCTAGTATCCACTCACCATGTTCCCCACTTTGGGAAGTGTTCCCATCACATCCTTCCAAAGGGTGGGCCCAGGCAGTCATAACAACAGCAACTAAAAGACAGGAGCTACAGTTTGGGACGATGAAAAAGCTGTGCAGCTGGATAATGAATAGACAGTGAATGGTGTACAAGAATGTGCATATACTTAATGTCCCTAAACTGTACATTTAAAAATGGTTAACACTGGGGCTGGCTCTGTGGCACAGTTTTAAACTGCTGTCTGCAGGTCCACCATCCCATATATGCACCAGTTCAAGTCCCGCTGCTCCACTTCCAATCCACTAATGTGCCTGAGAAAGCAGCAGAGGAGGCCCAAGTGGTTGTGTTACTGTACCCAAGTGGGAGATCCAGATGAAGCTCTCACTCCTGGCTCCGGCCTGACCCAACCCTGGCTGTTGTGGCCATTTGGAGGGTGAGCCAGAGGATGGAAGAGCTCTCTCACTCACTCTCTCTGCTTATCCCTCAATGTAACTCGGACTTTCAAATAAATAAATGATTTTTTTTTTTTGACAGGCAGAGTTAGACAGTGAGAGAGAGAGACAGAGAGAAAGGTCTTCCTTTTGCTGTTGGTTCACCCTCCAATGGCCGCCATGGCCGGTGCACTGCGGCTGGCGCACCGCACTGATCCGAAGCCAGGAGCCAGGTGCTTCTCCTGGTCTCCCATGGGGTGCAGGGCCCAAGCACTTGGGCCATCCTCCACTGCACTCCCTGGCCACAGCAGAGAGCTGGCCTGGAAGAGGGGCAACCAGGACAGAATCTGGCGCCCCGACCAAGACTGGAACCCGGTCTGCCAGCGCTGCAGGCGGAGGATTAGCCTAGTGAGCCGTGGCGCCGGCCAATAAATGACTCTTAAAAATGGTTAAAATAATAAATTACATGTTGTATATATTTTATTGAAACACAAAAAATGAAATCAAAATAAATCCCCAAGAGCTAATTCCTATTAAGTACCCCTTATCTACCCATCTCATGATCCTTGATGAGAATTCTTTTATTTCATCTTCCCTTTAACCTTATGCATTAGATCTCAGGATTATTCTCATTTTATGGAAGCACAAAAACAGATGCACAGATGCTAAGTTACTGACTACACAGCAACTAAGTGGTAGAATTTTATATTATTATTATTATTTTTTATTTTTTTGACAGACAGTGAGAGAGAGACAAAGGTCTTCCTTCCGTTGGTTCACCCCCCAAATGGCCACTACGGCCAGAGCTACACTGATCCGAAGCCAGGAACCAGGTGCTTATCCTGGTCTCCCATGCAGATGCAGGGCCCAAGAACTTGGGCCATCCTCCACTGCACTCCCGGGCCACAGCAGAGAGCTGGACTGGAAGAAGAGCAACCGGGACTAGAACCTGGCGCCCATATGGGATACCGGCGCCGCAGGCAGAGGATTAACCAAGTGAGCCACAGCGTTGTCCCCAAGTGGTAGAATTTTATTTCAATCTGGGCAGATCTCAGAGACCTGCTCCATTGCCAATTGCCTCTGTCCACTAATCAGAGTAGTATTCAGGTCACAAAGGCAGTGGAACTTGGCTAATCCCACTCCTGGTTAGGAATTTGATATAAAAGATAAATTCTGGTTGGATAGTAATTGCTTGCAGACACTCTAAAAAAATTTATTTATTTTGAAAGTCAGATGGGGCCGGTGTTGTGGTGCAGTGGGTTAACGCCCTGGCCTGAAACACCAGCATCCCATATGGGTGCCGGTTTGAGACCCGGCTGCTCCACTTCTGAACCAGCTCTCTGCTGTGGCCTGGGAAAGCAGTAGAAGATGGCCCAAATCCTTGGGCCCCTGCACCCCCATGGTTGACCCTGAAGAAGCTCCTGGCTCCCGGCTTCCGATTGGCGCAGCGCTAGCCATTGCGGCCAACTGGGGAGTGAACCAGCGGATGGAAGACCTCCTCTCTCTCTCTCTCTCTCTCTCTCTCTCTCTGCCTCTCCTCTCTGTGTAAGTCTTTCAAATAAATAACTAAATCTTTAAAAAAAAAAAAAAACTTAGAGGGAAAAATCAGAGACAGAGAGAAAGGGACTAAGAGAGATAGAGAGAGCTTCCATTCTTTGGTTCATGCCCCAGATGGCCACATGGCCATGGCTGAGCCAGGAGCCATAAGCTTCATCTGGATCTCCCATGTGGGTGGCAGGGGCCCAAGCACACAGGCTATCTTCTGCTGCTTTTTCCAGGTCATTAGCAGGGAACTGGACTGGAAGTGGAGCAGCTAGGATTTGAACTGGTACCCATATGGGATAGCAGCACTGCAGACAGTAGCTTAACCTGCTTCACCACACTGCAGGCCCCGGGTGGTTCTTATACACGGTGGTCCTCCCCCATGGAGTCTTTGCTTCTAATATTGAAACTGAGCTCCTATCCATAACATCCCAATGTCAGCTTTATCAGGTCTCAGACTCTCTCCCTAAGTTTGTACTTCTTCTGCCTCCATTTTTACTTTAAAATATTAATCCTGTTTATTTTTTCAATTTTATTTATAATTTTTTGAGATAATGTATTTTTAGTTTATATTTTAGTCAAAGGCCTAATGACTCCACTAAATAAAGACTTCAACAATTAAAAAGTCCAACATAGCCCAGCAGGAAGAGGCAAAGGCTATAAACAATAACCAACTGAGATGCTGTTCAACTCCACTCACACAAATTTTTTCACTTTGACGATTCAAAGTCAACTTCTCACTAAAGATTAACTCATTAAATTAAGGGATTGGTGCAAGGGTTAGGCTGGCCTCACCAGATCCCAAGTCACAAGACTAAGAATTCAATCATCACCTCCATAATTACTATCCTAACGCCAGCTCAATTTTGAGATGCTTCACAGGAATCCCAGGCCCTGAGCAAACCAACTATTAACCTTCTACCTGTGGCTTCCAGAGACTGGAGCCCACTTTGTCAATGCAGCATCTTTAGAAGAACATGCCAGCCTCCCATTACTGACGAAACAAAGGCAGGCCGTGAGCACTGTGGGCCAGCCAGATCTTGCCCTGCCCAGCTTTGGAAGACTGACCACCCTTAACTCTTGAGGAGTCTAGGAGTAGAGGGAGAGCTGCCTGTACTCCTTGCTCTGTGTGTTGCAAAATAAACACCTACTTTCTTCTACCATCCTGATGGTCAGTGTTTGGCAAGCTGTTTGTCAGGTGGGCAAATCCCGCAACTCAATTATATGAGCCATCCCAGGATCTGTATTAGCAAGAGGCTGCATTTAGGAAACAGAGCTGCATGTTAAGGGGCCAGTGCTATGGGAAGCAGCTTAATGCCTTGGCCTGAGGTGCCGGCATCCCATATGGGCGCCTGTTTGAGACCTGCTGCTCCACTTTGTTGTTTTGTTTTGTTTTGTTTTGTTTTGTTTGACAGGCAGAGTGGACAGTGAGAAAGAGAGAGAGAGAGAGAGAGAGAGAGAGAGAGAGAGAGAGAGAGAGAAAGGTCTTCCTTTACCGTTGGTTCACTCTCCAATGGCTGCTGCGGCCGGCGCACCGTGCTGATCCGAAGCCAGGAGGCAGGTGCTTCTCCTGGTCTCCCATGGGGTGCAGGGCCCAAGCACTTGGGCCATCCTCCACTGTACTCCCGGGCCACAGCACAGAGCTGGCCTGGAAGAGGGGCAACCGGGACAGAATCCGGCGCCCCGACTGGGATTAGAACCTGGTGTGCCGGCGCCGCAGGCGGAGGATTAGCCTATTGAACCGTGGCATCGGCCCTGCTGCTTCACTTTGAATCCAGCTCTCTGCTGTGGCCTGGGAAAGCAGTAGAGGATGGCCCAAGTCTTTGGGCCCCTGCACTCTGGTGGGAGGCCCAGAAGAAGCTCCTGGCTCCTGGCTTTGGATTGGTGCAGCTCCAGCCATTGTAGCCAATTAGGGAGTGAACCAGCGGATGAAAGACCTCTCTCTCTCTCTCTCTGCCTCTCCTCTCTCTGTGTAGTTCTGACTTTCAAATAAATAAGTAAATCTTTAAAAAAAAAAAAAAAAGTTGAATCTAGGTACTGTGGTACAGGATGTAGACTTTTTTTTTTTTTTTTTTAAGATTTATTTACTGGGGCCAGCGCTGTGGTGCAGATTAATTCTCCATCTGAAGGTCCAGCATCCCCTATAGGTGCTGGTTCTAGTCCTGGCTGCTCCTCTTCTGATCCAGCTCTCTGCTGTGGCCTAGGAAAGCAGTAAAAGATGGCCCAAGTGCTTGGGTCCCTGCACCCATGTGCAAAACCTGGAAGAAGCTCCTGGCTCCTGGCATCATATCAGTCCAGCTATGGCCACTGCAGCCATTTGGGGAGTGAACCAGCGGATAGAAGACCTTTCTCTATGTCTCTCCCTCTCACTGTCTGTAACTCTACTTCTCAAATAAATAATAAATAAAATATTTTTTTATTTTATAAAATCTTTTTTAAAAAAGATTTATTTATTTACTTGAAAGGCAGAGTTACAGAGAGAAAGAGGGGGGTATCTTCCATCTACTGATTCACTCCCCAAATGGCCACAACGGCAAGAGCTGCGCCAGGCTGAAGTCAGAAGCCAGGAGCTTCTTTCAGGTCTCTCTCAATGGGGCAGGGCCCAAGCACTTGGGCCAGCCTCTGCTGTTTTCCCAGGCACATTAGCAGGGAGCTGGATCAGAAGTGGAGCATGGGGCCAGTGCTGTGGCACAGCGGGTTAAGGCCCTGGCCTACAGTGCCAGCATTCCATGTGGTTGTCGGTTCTAGTCCCAGCTGCCCCACTCCTGATCAAGCTCTCTGCTAAGGCTTGGGAAGGCAGTAGAGGATGGCCCAAGTCCTTGGGCCCCTGTATCCGCATGGGAGACCTGGAGGAAGCTCCTGGCTCCTGACTTCGGATCGTCACAGCTCTGGCTGTTGCAGCCATTTGGGGAGTGAACCTGTGGATGGAAGACCTCTCTCTCTCTCTCTCTCTCTCTCTCTCTCTCTAACTCTGTCTTTCAAATAAATAAAAATAAATCTTAAAAAAAAGGAGGGGTCGGCACTGTGGCTCACTTGGTTAATACTCCACCTACGGCACCAGCATCCCATATGGGCACCAGGCTCTAGTCCCAGCTGCTCCTCTTCCAGTCCAGCTCTCTGCTGTGGCCCAGGAAGGCAGTGGAGAATGGCCCAAGTGCTTGGACCCCTGCACCTGCATCGGAGACCAGGAGGAAGCACCTGGTTCCTGGCTTCGGATTGGCGTAGCTCTGGCCGTAGCAGCCATTTGGAGGGTGAACCAACGGAAGGAAGACCTGTCTTTCTGTCTCTCTCTCTTACTATCTGTCAAATAAATAATTAAAAAAAAAAAAAAAAAAAAGGAGAAGTGGAACAGCCAGGTCCCAAATCAGCACCCAAATGAGTTGTCGGCAGTGCTGACAGCGGCTTTGTCTGTTACTCCACAGGCTGGCCCTGGTGTAATTTTTTTTCTTTAACCTCAGCATTTTGTGTGATGAGGCATTCTCCACCATCCAGCATAAAGCACCTGCCAAGTGGCTACCCACTGGCAGCTTGAACATGCAGGGGAAAAAATACCCAAGTTGCATCTCTCTTTAATTGACTGTTTGAAAAGCAGAGATAGAGACCAAGAGACTCTCATCCACTAGTTCACCCCCAAACGCCCACAACAGCTGGCACTGGGTCAGATTGGAGCCAGGAGCCAAGGACACAATTCTGGTCTCTCACATGTGTGGCAGGGACACAAGTACCTGAGCTATCATCTTCTGTCTACCAGGCTCTGCACTGGCAGAAGCTGGAGTTAGGAGCCAGAGCTGGGAATCAAACTCATTACTCTCATATGAGACATGGGCATCTTAACTGTACACTGAGTGCCTGTGCCTGGTCCTCTCTGACTGGCTTATTACAAAGCTCTCCCTTATGTCTGTAGTTCCTTCCCCTCAGTGCTAGTTCTCTCTGCTGAGGTCAAGTCCCTCTTCTTACATGGTAACATTCAGGGCCAGCTTTGTGAATGTGCAACCTGTACAACAGGCACAGAGCTCAGAAGGGCCCCAAGCTTGGGTTAATTCTGGGTTTGGCCATTTTGAAGTTCTTAATGCTTTCTTGAATAAGGGAACCTACTTTCTCAGCTTGCATCAGGCTTCACAAATTAGTCAGTCCTGAAAATATTTCAAGTAGCTTTATATCAAACCTCACCATTCCTCTGCACATTCTTTTTATATAACTTGATTCTGAGCCATCCTGGTTGCTCTTCTCTTTGTTCCCAGAACTCACCACAGAGTCATATGATCATGTGTGTGTGTGTGTGTATGCATGTAATATTTATGTAGCAGATATTCATTCAGAGATTTCTATGTGGGATGTCACGTGTGGTACTTAATCCTTATCACAATCCTTCTGGCTAAGAAAACATATTTCTCTCCAGTTTGCAAGATAGGAAACTGGGTTGAAAGGTTACATAAGAGTGTGCAGTCCACACGTGGCAGAGAGGAGCTCATGCTAGGTCTCCCTGGCTCCTTCACACTCGGTTCTACTACATTTTCTCCACATTGTTAGAGGCATGCGCTGCAAGGGCAGGCTGGCTGTTAACCCACTCTGATCCTCTGGTCCACTAACTGTGATCCTGGTGACTGCGTAGGGGAGGCCCGTTGGCACGGTGACTGAGCTGCTCCCACGGGGCCACTGCCTTTTCCAGGCTGATGTGCAGGTTCTCTCCTGAGGCTTCCCTAGGCTCAGCCTTTAGATTAGTTTTATGTTAGTCTCCAATTGCTGCTTCCGTGGTCAAAACCTAAGTAACAGAAAACCTCCAAAGATTAAAGTTTATTGGGGAGCAGCAGTGCAGTGGACATAGGCGTGTCACAGTAACATGTGCATATTCAAACACATTGAGGCAAGAGGAAACTTTTACATTGTTCTTTATTATATTTGAAAGGCAGAGGGACAGACAGACAGAGAATCTCCTATCCACTGGTTTACTCCTCAAATGCTTACAACAGCTGACACTGGGCCAGGCTGAAGCCAGGAGCCTGGAACTCCATCCACAAGGGTGGCAGGGCCCAAGTACCTGAACCATCACCTGCTGCCTCAGGGTGCACATTAGCAGAAAGCTGGGAGCAGAGCTGGGACTGAACTGAATCCAGGCACTCTGATATGGGATGCAGGCATCCCAAACAATGCCTTAAATGCTGTACCACACACCTGCCAGAAGAGGAAGCAGGTTTTTTTTTTTTTTTTAATGATTTATGTATTTATTTGAAAGGCAGAGTTTACACGGAGAGGGAGGGAGGGAGGGGAGGAGAGAAATCTTCCATCTGCTGGTTCACTCCCCAAATGGCTGCAACATCTGGGGCTGAGCCAGGCTGAAGCCAGGAGCCAAGAGCTTCTTCCCAGTCTTCCACATGGGTACAGGGGCCCAAAGACTTGGGCCATCATCTGCTGCCTTCACAGGCACATTAGCAGGGAGCCAGATTGAAGTGGACTAGCTGGGACTCGAACCAGCACCTGAATGGGATGCTGGCACTGCAGGTGGTGGCTTAACTCACTATGCCACAGCGCCAGTCCCCCAGTGTCCCCCTTGCATTGTCACTGAACACCCTCTCAGGGTCTAGGGGTCAGAGTACTTCATGCTGTTCACAGCAGCCCCCCTGCTCAGCCTTCGCACCCCCACACATGCCCAGTGCCTCATGTGACCTGCATTTCAGGTCTCCACACCCTTCAAACCTACCTATGGCCCCTGTATTCTAGTTATGGCAGTTACTGGGATGGAGTAAAAGGGGGCCCAGCAGGTGGAGGGGCGAGGAGGACACAGGGGCCAAGGAGGGCAGGGATGTGTAAGGTTCTAACTACTGCTTGTTCTGATCATAGAGTCACAAAACCAAGACAGCAGCTCTCATCACGGAAAAGGGGGAATCTCTGTTCTGATGTCAGGTGTCCCTTACCCTTAACTGCCAGGGCCCAAAGTGACCCCACCTCGTTTTAGGGTTGAGGGCTTGGTCAGCAGCAGCCAGTGGGAGCTGGGTGGAAGCAGGTGGCCCCTGCGGAGGGGGAAGGTGAGGCTTGTCCCAGATGGTGATCTTTTCATCTCCCCAGTCTGAACTTGACCTAACAGGAAGTTTTCTTTCCAAAGTTGAAAAGCGTTGAAAAACTGCTAGATTAAACACACTAAAAGGTAGCTTACTTACTCTGCTCTGCATTTCCAACATGGAACTGGAGGCAGGAACCAGTATCTTTTAAATTTTCATGACTTATATTTGTTGTAGACACGGGCCCTGACTGTGCCTGGTGACTGACCTTCGTTCTTACCTGATGGCCACTTTGTAACCTTTATCGGCAGACCTCACTCTGTCATCTGAGTGTGTTTTCCCCCACACAGACCATTCATGGGAACTGTGGGTATCTTGTTTCCAGCTCTGTCCTGAACTCTACTGTCTGCTTCCAGAAAACACAAGCAAATACATACACACATGCATGTACACACATACACACATGCATACATGCACAAATACACACATATATACATTTGTGTGTATTCATGCAGAATTTGAGCATCCATACTCTGAAAATCTGAAATCCAAAATCCTCCAAATCCGAAACATTTTGAGTACCAATGTAATGTCACAAATGGAAAATTCCACACCATAACACTTTGTTTCACTTGCAAAATTATTAAAAATAAGGGATCGGCATTGTGGCATAGAAGGTTAAGCTGCTGTCTGCAGCACCAACATCCCATATGGACACTGGTCTGAGTCCTGGCTGCTCCACTTCTTGTCCAGCTCCCTGCTAATGCACCTGGGAAAGCAGCAGAAGATGGCCTCAGTGCTTGGGATGCCTGCATCCATGTGGAAGACCCGGGAGATGCTCCTGGCTCCTGGCTTCAGACTTCAGACTGGGTCAGCCACATCTGTTGCAGTCATTTGAGGAGTGAACCAGCAGATTGAAGCGCGCGCTTTCTCTCTCTCTCTCTGTAACCCAGCCTTTAAAATAAATAAAACAAATTCTTAAAAACATTATTAAAATATGGTATGAATTACTTTCAGGCTATGGGTACAAGAAACATAAATCAATTTCCTGTTCAGAACTGGATCCTATCCTCAAGATACCTCGTTACAATATGCAAATAGTCAAAATCAAAAACTTCTGAAGTCTGAAATACTTCCAGTCTTAAGCATAAGCATTTTGCACAGGGGTTCTCTTATTTTACATACACACACACATCCCAGAAATTTCTTTGCTCTGTGACACATGGCCACGAACCTATGGAGAGGAGATTGAATTTGTATTAAAATAGGTGACTTTGTGAAGCAACCCATTTTTATATAGGGTCAAGGCTTTTCTGGCCCTTGAACGTGGCTCCTTGTAACAACCTCACGGAACAGCTGTCTTCAATGCACATACAGTAAGCCCCAAGTGCCTGTCAAATCCAGAATCTCCTGAGAACGCTGACTGCACAAATGGGCACTTCTTATTTTTCACTGTGTGGAGTAAAGTAATTTCTGCTTTGGGTCTAGAAAGCACTAAATGAGGCATCAGATACACTTTCTGCTATTAGTGCCTTATCTGCTAGGTGGCTGCCAGCCTCAGCCTGCACTCCTCTATGACTGGGTGGCTCTGACCGGTGGCAGACGGAGAAGTTTATAGACTGTCCAGTGATTCTGCCAGAGTACCCCACGAGGAGACATCACCTTCGAGGTGCTGGCTGTGGACCCTCGGCAACTCCTCTATGCACAGAATGAACGTCAGTTCCTCTCAGAAAAGGTGGATCACTGAATCTAATGTTTTTCCCTTCAAACAATGTGCAAGATCTGCCTGTGTATCCCAATCCTGGAAATACTAGGACTTGGAATTACACAGTGGCTAAAGAAGTCACTGTCTTTCATTACTGCAGCACACCTCTATTAGTAAAGGAAATAGAATACAGAGGCTCATTCTTGTACCTATTCTAAAGGTAAGGAGGTAAGAGGATACTAAGCAATTCACAAGGTCTCCTGGCTAGAGAGTGGCACAGCTGCCCTCTGTAATCCTGGTTACAGACCTTGGTAAATATACAAACTTAAAAACCAACTAATGGGGCCGGCGCCATGGCTCACTTGCTTAATCCTCTGCCTGTGGCACCAGCATCCCATATGGGCACTGGGTTCTAGTCCTGGTTGCTCCTCTTCCAGTCCAGCTCTCTGCTGTGGCCCAGGAAGGCAATGGAGGATGGCCCAAGTGCTTGGGCCCCTGCACCCGCATGGGAGACCAGGAAGAGGCACCTGGCTCCTGGCTTCGGATTGGCGCAGCGCCGGCAGTTGCAGCCATTTGGTGGGTGAACCAACGGAAGAAAGACCTTTCTCTCTGTCTCTCTCTCTCACTAACTCTACCTATCAAATTAAAACACACACACACACACACACAAACTAAAACTACAGTGAAACTTTTAAAACTAAACACATGCACTTTAGATAATAAAATCTATACCATGACTTGGAAGAATCTAAGGGAAACAGATTGTGTGGGGGAAAAATGTCCATTCCAAAATGTTACATATTATATAATTCTATTTATATACTTTTATTAAAAAGATGTGTTTTTATTTGAAAGACAGAGTGACACAGAGAGAGACTGAGACAGAAAGAGATCTTCCATTCACTGGTTCACTCCCCAAATGGCCACAACACCTGGGGCTGGGCCAGGCTCAAGCCAGGAGCCAGGAACTTCATCCTGATCTCCCACGTGGGTATCAGGAGTCCAAGTGCTTGAGTCATCTTTGCCTGCTTTGCTGGGTGCCTCACAGGGACTGGATCAGAAGTAGACCAGCTAGGACTCAAAGCAGTGCTTGGATATGGGATGCAGGTGTCACAAGCAGTGGCTTAACCTGCTGTGCCACAAGCCAGCCCCTACATGTATTTCTGACATAAAAACATTTTAGAAAGAGGATAGATTGGTATGGGGTGAGGGGAGGGCTTGCAGGCTTGGATTCAACTGTGAGCTGAGCTCATAGGCAAAGGGCAAAGCGAGCCTGCCACAGGTAAGCCCTTGCTTCCAGGACCATTTATCAGCTTATCTCCTGCCCTAGAGAAAGTCAGGTGAAGCTGCACATTTTCCCTAAGGGTCAGTGTGACTTTAGGATTAATATATAGTACTTGTCTGGGGTGGAGAGAGGCTTTATGGCAGCTGGACATTCAAGTGCAGGTGGACATTGGTGACAGCCTGCACACTGTCACACCTGTGCTGTGGAAAGCCAGGACAACCAGATGGCTTGGGAACTGGAGCCTGAACAGGGCAGTTCCCGCTTGGTCTCACTCCATTTCCTCTGAGCTGGTGACTGCTCATAGCCAGTAAGCCAATGGCAAGGGCACAGAGGAACAAGCAGCCTAGGGGACAGCACAGGAGAGGAGTGAAGGGAAAAGGAACCACTGACAGCAAGCACAACAGGGCAGTGAACTTCTGCCCAGCCTTTATTGGCAAGTTGTTGGGAGGAATAAGGGAATAAAGTAAGTGAAAAGTATTTTGTGAGCATTTACTCTCTGTGCAATGCAAAGATTAGTAATTAGATAGGATTCTTCCTAGTGGCCCCTAAATAATTTTCTGTACCAATCATTTGGAAAGTGAATTCAGTCTGAAGCCGGTGGGTCCAGGACCTTCGGTGAGTGCTGAGAAATGATCAGGTCTCAGCGCGGCTTTTGTGCTTACCTTGCATTTATGGGTGAGGTCATATGCCTGGGGAGGCAGGAAGCGAGCAGGTCCCACCCCAGCCAAGCTCTAGTAACCTCAGCAGATTTCTTACTGTGCTTCCAGGAATGATCCTTGGCCCAAAGCTCAGCCAACAGGAAGTCTAGGGAACAAATGCTCATCTATTTTGGTCAGGGCTTTTTCTCCCTTTCGATTTAGGTAATGTGTTAAGTCACTAAGATTGGAAGCAGTGGTGGCCGGCGCTGTGGTATGGTGGGTTAAGCCATAGCTTGTGATGTTGGCATCCCCTATCAGAGCGCCGGTCTGAATCCCAGCTGTTCCACTTCCTATCCAGCTCCCTGCTAACGTGCCCATCAGTGGAACCAGCTGTCCAGTAAGGATATGTCTCAGCAGATGATGACCTGGGCCTGGCTGAGCCCCAGCTGTTGCAGCTATTTGGGGAGTGAACCAGCAGATGGAAGATCTCTGTCACTTTGCCTTTCAAATAAAAAAAAAATCTTTAAAAAAAAAATTGGAAGCAGCAGACAGGAGAGGGAAGGCTATCACAGTGGGTAGCAGTCTAGCTTGACACTCTCTGGGAGGGGCGCAGTTTGAGTGGAAGTGGAAAACCTCTGAGAAATGGCATTGTGTGGTACAAAGTGTGTTGGCTCTGGTGTCAGGTGGCCGTAGGAATAAATTAGTTTTATCCTCTCTGAGCCATGGTTCCTTGACCTGTAGAAAGGTAACAAGGACAATGCCCTCCTTGTAGAACTGTTTGGGGAGCAGATGAGATAAACAGACAGGAGCACGTGGCAAAGTAGGAGGACACTAAAGTGAATCCTTTCTCTTTTCCTTCTTCCAAGCATAGGAAGGAGATGCCATCACTCCTTTAAAGTATCTTTCTTTGCACATTTTCCAGAGAGAACGAAAGGAGGAGCCTTGGCTAGCTCAGTTTATCCTCTTTGTAGCTCCCTGAGGTGCATCTTATCAAGCTCAGGATCTGTAGTCAGATGACCTAGATGCATATCCAAGCTCCATCAATTATAAGCCAGTTTTTTTTTTTTTTTTTTTTTCTGAGAGACAGACACAGACAAGTGAGAGACAGACAGCAAGCTCCATTCACTCCTCAAATGCCTACAATGGCCAGGGCTAGGCTGGAGCCAAAGTCAAGAGCTGGGAACTCAATCCAGGTCTTCTACATGGCTGGCAGGGATTCAATCATTTGAGCCATCACTGTTGTCTCCCAAGGTCTGCATTAGTAAGAAGCTGGAGTCAGGAGCCAGGGCCAGAGATGCAACTCAAGTACATTAATGTGGTATGTGGGTATCTTAATAACCAATATTTTAATTCCTAGGCCAGACAGCTGCCCAAAACTATGTGATCTTAACCACATCAGTCAATCTCTCCAATTTCAGTCTTTTCAAGAGTAAAATAGAGTTAAAGGTCTCTGACTATGGTTGTTTAGAAACTAAGATAGGGGGCTGGTGCTGCGGTACAGATTAAGCCTCTGCCTGCAGCACTGGCATCCCTTATGGGCACCGGTTCAAGTCCTGGCTGCTTCACTTCTGACCCAGCTCCCTGCTAATGGCCTGGGAAAGCTGTGGAAGATGGCCCAAGTCCTTGGGCCCCTACACCTAGAAGAAGCTCCTGGCTCCTGGCTTTGGATTGGCCCAGCTCCTGCCATTGCAGCCATCTGGGGAATGAATCAGCAGATGCAAGACCTCTCTCTCTGTCTTCCCCTCTGTCTGTAACTCTGTCTCTCAAGTAAATAAATCAATCTTAAAAAAAAAAAAAAGAAAGAAAGTAAAATGGGCAGCTTACATGGAGCATATAGGATGGTTACCTCATATACAGGCAGGATTCATTCAATAAATGTTCATTCTTGTCCTGTCTTGGCGTGGCAGATGGAGTCTGGAAAGAACTGAAGCATAAGAGTGTCTGGAGACATCATTATTTTTCACAATCATCAGCAACCCTTGGCTCCATCTGCATGGTGCATTCTTCCCACTAGAGTTCAGCAATAATCCACACTAAGACTCCAGGAATGTGGATGAGCTGACAGGACTGTGCAGTTGCCAAAAACAATGCACTCACCCCAAAACCACACGAGGAGAAATGGATGAGGCCTTGAAATTGAACCCTGAACAAGCTGGAAGGAGCAAGCAGGATGGGAAAATGGTTGGAAAGATCACATACAAGGAATGTGTGAGGAACCAAGACAAGAGAAATCCAAGAATAAGTATAAATAAGCCATTATTTGAAGAGTTGATATGTGAAAGGATGATTTCATTTATTCTTTCATTCCATGGAGGGTAGAACTCGGTTGACAGGTAGAAGTTAGCTTGAGATAAATTTCAGGCCCAAAGAATTTTCCAGAACACCACCATTCAGTGACAAAGCAGCCATCCATCAGTGGAACTGGATGTCCAGCTGAAGTATCTGAACCTCAGACTCTGGTGCCAGAGGAATAGGTTGGTCATTTAGGCAAACCTTCACCATGTAAGAAACACTGGGGGCAGCATGATAGGGTAGAACACAACTGTATCCTGTTAACTACAGCCAACACTATACATGAGTATAAATGTATGTATTTAACAAATACACTATATATCTTCTCATTTTTAAAAAGGATTTATTTATTTAAAAGGCAGGGTTAAAGGGAGAGAGGGGAGAGAAGAGAGAAGAGAGGGGAGAGGGGAGAGGGCAGAGGGAAAGAAAGGGAGAGGGATCTTCTATCCTTGGTTCATTCACAGATAGTCACAACAGCCAGGGATGGGATAGGTCAAAACCAGGAGCCTAGAACTCAATCTGTGTCTCCCACATGGGAGGCAGGGACCCAAGCATTTGGACCATCTTCTGTTGCTTTACCAGGTACATTAGCAAGGATTTGGATTGGAAGTGGAAAAGCTGGGATTCGAACTGGTGCTCATATGGGATGCCCGCAGCACAGGTGGTGGCTTAAGCTGCTGCGCCACAATGCTGGCCCCACTCTTTACCTTTTCTAAGGAGGATATCTGAGGTGTCAAACCAATCTATTTTTGGTGTTAAACTGTGCATTCCAAAAATACAATGCAGAAAGCAATAGTGTTAATACTGAAATTTAAAACCCTATTTTGAAGTTAAAAATAACAACTTCCACATGTAAGCACATCTTAAAAATGGTTTCTTTTATATTATTTGAAAAACAGAGAAATCTCCCATACACTGGTTCACTCTACATGCCTATCCAGGAACCTGGAATTCAATCTGGGTCTCCTGCATGGGTGGCATAGACCCAAGTACTTGAGTCATCACCCACTGTCTCCTAGGGTGCACATTAGCAGGAACCTGGAATTGGAAGTGGTGCTGGGACTCGAATCCAGGCACTCGACATAGCATACATGTGTCTCAAGTGGCATCTCAACAGCTATGCCAGACACCTCAAGAACATTATTTAATTCCAAAAACATCATTCTTTACATGTAAATGAGAATGATACTCACCTATAAGTGGTATTTGCCTGTAGGGACTGTTCATTAATCCAAAAAACATTTGAGCACCTTGGTTCTACCTGCTGGGGACCTATATCATTGAACTAAAAAGCCATGGAGCTTACACTCTAGTGGGGGTCTCGAAGCATATACATAGTAAGAAAACTGAAATATGGGATTGGGAACATAATATGTGAAAGTGCTGTGGAAAGTCAGGAAAAGGTATAGGATGGGGGAGGTGGTTTCTGTGAATGGATTAAGTAAGATAATGCAGGTTAAAAATCATTGATAGGCCCTCTGGCTTAGTGGGCACTGGTTCGAGTCCCAATTGCTTCACTTCTGATCCGGCTCTCTGCTGTGGCTTGTGGATTCAAGGTCAAAAACCAAAAGAAAGTAGATGTTGACAGGGTTAGTAGGTGGAAGAAAGGAATCAATGAAAATATGATTCTGGGGTTCTGGTGTTGCTTTGTGTGTATAAGGATGCTGGTAAGAATCTGTAGGGAATGTACATACAGAAACCTGGGCTTCAACTTATTTTCATGGTATTAAAAGGTAGAAGCATGATATAATTATGGTATTTGGAGTAGGGTTTTTGGGAGATGACTGGACTGGATTGGGCCATTAAGACACAGATGAGCACACTCCCCATCTCTCTTCTTCCTGGCTCAAGATGAGATCATTCCTCTGCACACTCTGCCATTGCTATCCACTACAGCACTAAACTTGCCTGGTCTTGGACTTGAACCTCCAGAACTGTGAGCTAAACAAAACTTTTCTCAGGGCTAGCATTATGGCACAGCCACCTGCTATGCTGGCATCCCATATGAGCACTGGTGCAGGTCCCAACTGCTCTACTTCTGATCCATCTCCTTGTTAATGCGCCAGGGAAAGCAGTAGATGGCCAAAGTGCTTGGGCTCCTGCCGCCCACATGGCAGACCCCGGTGAAGCTCCTAGCTCCTGGCTTTGGCCTAGTCCAGCCCCAGCCCCAGCCCCAGCCACTGTGGCCATTTGGGGAATAAACCAGTGGATGGAAGATCTCTCTCTGCCTTTCCCTCTCCGTAACTCTGCCTTTCAAATAAACAAATAAAAAATAGTTCCTCTTATGTATTTTGGTGTGATAATGAAAAGTTAATTTAGTTATGTGTCACTTAATGACAGGGCTAGGTTCTGAGAACTCCATCTTTAGGTGATTTCATCATGTGTGAACATCATGGTACTGGCACAAAGTCAGTTACAACATCACCAGGTGATGGGACCATGGCTCTAAATGTAGCCCATTTTTCACCAAAACAATATGCATTGGATGACTGCACAAGGGAAAGGTGACCTAGATTTTCTAAGTCTTAATTTTACCCATATTTGACCAGGGTTGTTATGACACTTAGTGATGAGTTATGTAAAATACCAGGCACACAGCAGGTACAGCTAGCTTATATTGTCATCATCATCCAAACACACACTTCTGATTTTTCAGAGATTTTTCAATGTGCTCAGGATGAAAAACTATGCAGTAATTCTCAGGAGGGCGCATTCCACAATCATGTGTTACTAGGAGTTGGCCTAAGGTCACTTGTTATGAGAACAAACCAGGAAAACATAAGGAAGTATTCAACTGATTAAACGCTCAATCCAATTCTCAGCGTTGCTAACTCTACAATGTTGCTGTCTTCAAAATTCCAAAAGATGCAAAGACACTGAAAACAGCTCTTCGTACAAATCTGAGGACTTAGCCAAAAAGTGATCCAAATGGATTTAGGAGGTATACTTCCCTCCACAGGGCCTGGCTACTTTCCACGCACCTGATTTACCCACAGGCCTCTGTGGCATCATCCCTCTGCTTCCTACGGCTCCCGTTGAGAGTCTTGGGCAATGAGGATTTAATTTGTTCTCTTCCTTTAGAAGGAAGAAGCTCTTTCTGCTTTCCCAGCAGAAGGCATATCTCCATCACTTTTACTTCTGCAAGGTCAAAGGTAATTGAAAGTTTTGGGATATTTGCTGGTGTTAGTGCCTTGTCCAACAGCCATTCTCAAGACACAAGGAGTTCTGTCTAGAGTCTCCCCTATTTTCTATACACTACACAGTATCCCCTTTGCTGTCCCTTCCAGGGGTCACTGTGACCACTTAGCACTTCGCTAGAGTAAAGGAACATCACAGGACAAAGTTGTGTGTGGGATTTGCTGGGTCGAAGTCAGTGCTTCTTGAACTGTTTGGTGGAGGATCACTTTGTCCTTCTTTCCAATCCATCATAGACTGATGCTTTATATATGAATTCTTAGAACACCGTTAAAAGACATAAAATAGGAGCCAAAGCTGTGACATAGTGAGCGAAGCTTCCACCTGCAGCACCAGCATCCCATATGGGTGCCAGTTCAAGTCCCGCCTGCTCCATTTCTGATCCAGCTCTCTGCTGTGACCTGAGAAAGCAGTGGAAAATGGCCCAAGTGCTTGGGCCCCTGCACCTGTATGGAAGCCCTAGAAGAAGCTCCTTCCTCTTGGCTTTGGATCAGCATAGCTCCAGGCATTGTGGCCATTTGGGGAGTGAATCAGCAGATGGAAGACTTTCCGTCTCTCTGCCTCTGCCTCTCTGTAACTCTGCCTTTCGAATAAATAAATCAATCTTAAAAGGAGGAGTGGGCAGCATCCCATATGGGCAGTGGGTTCATGATCCGGCTGCTCCACTTCCGATCCAGCTTTCTGCTATGGCCTGGGAAATAAGCAGAAGATGGCCTAAGTCCTTGGGCCCCTGCACCCCCATGGGAGACCTATAAGAAGCTCCTGGCTCTTGGCTTTGGATTGGTGTAGCTCTGGCCGTTGCAGCCAATTGGGGAGTGAACCAAGAGATGGAAGACCTCTCTTTCTCTGACTCTCCTTCTCTGTGTAACTCTTTCAAATAAATAAATAATTTAAAAAAAAAAAAGAATCCAGTATTTAGATCAGTAGTTCACCTGCAGTGAAAACTGTATTTGTGCCTCAGAACACAAACTGTCAAACTTATACACGGGTAGTCAACTGCAGGGCCTCACCAAACAGTAACATTACCACATGCTACGCTCTCTGAAATTTTGTATCCTTACTTTTTTAAAATGACAGTCAAGAGGCATTTAGTTAAATTCAAACTCAGAGTTGGAAACCCATCCTGACAGTGTCCTAATGGGATTAACAACTAGTAGGCTGAATCATTTACAACTTGATTTTTTTTTTTTTTTTTTGAGAGGCAGAGTGGACAGTGAGAGAGAGAGACAGAGAGAAAGGTCTTCCTTTGCCGTTGGTTCACCCTTCAATGGCCGCCGTGGCCGGTGCGCTGCGGCCGGTGCGCCGCGGCCGGCGCACCGCGCTGATCTGATGGCAGGAGCCAGGAGCCAGGTGCTTTTCCTGGTCTCCCATGGGGTGCAGGGCCCAAGTACTTGGGCCATCCTCCACTGCACTCCCGGGCCACAGCAGAGGGCTGGC